ATTCTTTTTGCATCTTTATTTTGTTACAACATTTAGAAGTCCTAAAAGCTACTTTAAGGCATGATGGTTTGAGGCTTCTTGGATTATACGGGTTGTATCCAGAAGACTCACTTAATAGAAATCTAATGGAAATGCTTATTTATTAGACGTTGGCACAATTATTCATCATACTTGCCAATTGGTCATATTTTTTCTATTCTTTGTTCGTTTTGTGATTTTTCAGAACTGTTGCTCCTCTTCTCGAGATGCTGGCTCGCACCTCTCCAGAACTGGGTCGATGTCTACATCTGCTTTTCGGGCCTGAGTACTGCAGTAACGTGCTGGCACAGTATCAGGCAGCCCTGGTCTCCAGCGGTGCCCTGGTCCAGCTAGGCACCGTCTCTACCGGTGCTGTAGTGGTCTCAACCAGTGGAAGCCTAGTTTCCCCCGTTTGCCAGTTGCAACCGTTGTCCACTTTCGCTTCATCCCAAGCACAACCCCCTCCCCCGCCTCCCACCCCACCACCCATTGGGGCCCCTAGTTCCACTTCTTCCCCAGGCAGCTCGCTGACCCAATTGCCTGTCTTGCTGCCTCCTCCGCCTTGCTCCTCTTCATCCGTGGCTGGCGCAACTGCTCAGATTGATCCGGCAGCATGTTCGCAAAACGCCTTTGTATCTTCCCTCCATTTATCAAAACGATCCACAACGCCTCCTCTCGCTTCACCTGGTTCTCCTAGCAATGGAAAAGCTTTAGGTAAGATTCATTCGTTGCCTTTGCTTTAGTATATTAGGGGCTCTGTGAAATATACGCATTAGTATCGTCTATCCGTGTTTTTGTTTCCTATTTGAGTATTATTTATTCCCATTTTTTATTATCTCAAAATTAAAGTAATATTTGAGTCAAAACTGGCCTTCAGAGAATACGTTAATAAGTTAGTACGACTCGATGTTTCATTTCTAAGAGAAAGTTACTTGAAAGTGATCCGTGAATTGACCTTGCCGGAAACTTAGACAGGACTGGCTTGGAGTAGAATAAATTTTTTACGCATATCAAATTCCCTTACTTTGGTCATTTCCCCTCTTCTTCGCTTCCTCTACAGAAATCTCCTCACAGGGCCATCCGGTAGATCCCCGGCTTTCTCGTTTTTCCTCTCCTGTAACCTCCTTACCTTCGTCTACCCTGCCATCTGCGCTCTCGCCACTCCCGTTGGATGGCCTTTCGCTGCCAGGCGATTTTTATTCCGCACAGGCATCCGCCTTGCGTCGAACTGACGACCCGGCTTCTCTCATACAGACAAATCATTTAGAGTCTCCACTCTGTAATGCCTTTGTTTCAAACCATTCCACCGGCACTGTAGGGCCTCCTCACTCTTCGAACCCCCAGTCCCTTTCATTCATTGCTGGCTCACCTACCCCTCTTTCCTCTGCCAACGACTTAACAGCTGCATTAACCACTTCAAGTGCGATCGCATCCTCCGGTGGCTCTGGACTTTCAGCCTCTTTGGTAGGACCACTTTCTCCGGCTTCCCCTGGTGCATTTCTAACTGGGCATCCGGATGAAGTACCCCCTCTTGCAGCTGATGAATTAAACACACTTTTCATGCCCATCCCAAATCAGGCGTCCGAAGTCGTAAAGTCCAGGTAAATATTCATTATTTAGCCATAATTCTCTGTATAAAAGATCATTAAGTCACATTTCCTTAATCAATTTTAGTTCCGCCATATTAGTGAGAACAATTCAGTTATATTCTTCACACTTGATTGGAAACTTTAAAGCCTAAGGCATCTCCCATGGGTTTCTTTAAACAGAGATCTTGACTTTTAATTGGCTAGTTTACCTATTAAAGTTATTCTTTTTAATTAGTATATTTTTTTACTCACTGCTTTGACCAACCTACTGATGTTCTCGAAACATATATCGAATACAACTGATAAAGTATTTGGTTACCTGTATATTTTCTTGCAGTGTTGTTTGGTTTCTAAGTTTTTATAACCTTTAGCAACCTGTCTTCCTTTTAGATCGTGGATATAAAGACCAAGATGGAGTG